ATAAATAAAAATGATTTATATCAATTTTAAAAATTAAATCAATTAATGTAAAAACAATTTATAATTGAGCAAATGAATTAAATACTATTTATTAGGTTGACTGGTTGACTTGATCAGTCAAACCGGTTGAATCGAATCCGATGACCAAAAAAGGGTTAATTACTTTCTTGTGGATTAAATCATCGATTGCATAAAATATATATATATATATATTTATAGTAAATTAGCTTTAAGTTTGGGGAGAAATTGTGCATATATTAAAAGTTGAGAGATAGAAATGTATTTATATTAAAATTTTAGGGATTTAAAATTGTGCAAATTGTAATAAAGTTAACGGGTAAGTAACAGAAGGACTAATAAGGTATACTTTTTTATAGCTTAGGGACTATAATTTAATAAACCAATTATGATATGAAGAGTTTACACACCCTTTAAATTTATGGAGCAAAATTTGGAGTTTAACCATTACTTTATTTCTAATGAAAAACTTACTGAGAATGCCATCTAAGGGGAACTGAAAATTTCAAATTAATATTTAATTTTTTTATAACAAATGTGTATTTACAATATCATAATATTTGTATTAACTACTATTTTTTTTTTTGTAAGTTATGTATAATATAATAAACAATAATAAGTAAAAAATAACATAATTTTCATTCGTCCGTGATAGAAACAAAAACTATAATATACAAGAAAACATTCAAATATAATGAAGATCATGGTGAAAACTAATGAGAAATAAAACTTGCACTTGAAATAAAAATGAAGGGCAATTGGGAAATGGTACATGCAAATTGCATAAGTTTATTTCACAGTATATAGATTATAAATTATCAAATACTAAACAAAAATGGGTTATGAATACAAAAGATAATGGATTTAAACTATAAGATTAAAGAGGGTAGAAAAAAATATAAGCAAACAATAGGAAGATGGTAAACTTACCTTAATGAATGAAAATATGAAAGCTTGTACTGTAAATAATCCTTAAAAATCTTAATTGCCTTCTCGGATTATGGCAAATTCTGGTAGGAAGATGAAGTAGAGATGGGAGGAAATATGGCAGCAATGTTTTAGGGGGAAGAATGGTGCAGAAAGCAAAGAGTGTGTGGGAAGACGGGATGGCCTAAAAGCTTACATCACCACCATGGAGTGTGATGCTAAAAGGATGAGCCTTTCAGCAACATGCAACATAGTGCATGTTGCTGAAAAGTTATAACACCAACATGGAGTGTGATGCTAAAAGGGTGAGGCTTTCAGCAACAAAGTGATTGTTGCTGAAAGTTAATTATATTGCAGTCAAGATTCCAAGTAGTATATGGATGGACGTGACGGTCATACACACTCCCCAAAATATAAGATTTGGATTTGGATTCTTGGGTGCAGTTGTTTTAAATCAATATTAATAGTTAAAAATACAATAGTTGAAGTAATATATATCTAAATATAATATTAATAGTATAAATGATTTAATACATCAAATATAATGTAAATAAATCAAAATATTTTAGATAAAAAATACGAGTTAAAAGGAATGTAAATTAATATTAGTACATACCATTAATATATAAGTTAAATATTAATGTTGGTTATCAACTAAATGAGTTTGCATAATTTTTTAAATTTTGTACATAACATTTTATTTTAATATAATTGATGACATATAATAAAAGTAAAATTATTGTCATATTATAAATGATTAATGTTAAATTTTTTTAATATAATTACTTATTATATTATCATATTACATGTTTAAATTATATAATTTTTCTCTTTTTTAATAAATTAAAAAATATAATAATTAATTAAAATAAAAAAGTATGATATTAATATTTAAGAACATAA